GGATATATATGTTAGAAAAATAATTTGATAACTCAAAAAGAGATATTCAAATTGTTGTCTAGGTTCATTCTTGTTATATTATATTAGTGGATCTTTATTATACTATTAATTTGAATATACTTAATGTGTGTAATAGTAAATTTGAATAACTTTTAATATAATATTTTATTAGCTTTAAATGGCTATTATTATTATTTATTATGGCTATCAAAATCAATTAGTTTTTTGAATCTAACCATTTGATAACGTTCCATGCTTAATGGCCTTTAAATATGTAACGTTTCTTGGCTTTGGTTTTGTAACGATTCTTTCTTGACAATCATATGTCCACTTTGGACTATATATATGTATATTGTGTTCAATTTAAAAAGATGTGAAAGAGTGGAAAAAGCAAATACTTTTCTTCTCAATTTCTTTTTATTGTGCTCGGTTTTCTTTGATTAATCTTTGTTGTTTCTGCTCCTAGTTATACTAGAATACCTTGTTGAATCTTGGGGATATGCCTAATAATATTCATCAAGGTGTGGACAAAATATCCTTACAGTGTATTTGACACGCCTCAAGCTAAATCTCATTCTCCATAATACAATATTTTTCCAACAATATAGAGGTTGAATTACCGTAATTTTTCATAGAAACTTTATTGTAAAAATCCAAAGTATGAAAGTGGAAATAATTTGGTTTGATGCAAATCTTACCTTTGAAGCTGTAATGGTAGTTTCTGAAAGAGTTGGTCTATTCACGAATAACGTGAGATATATGAGTCAATGGGAGTTGAACAACCCATCAGTTACCCAAATTCATTAATTAGTCTTTTTCAGCCTAAAGGTATAAAAAAAGTTTCAAAAATAGCCCAATTAGCTATAAGGACAGGAGACCCAATTCGATCACCTAAGGTGTTATAGATTGCAGTGTCGTACAGTGTACAGACATTAAGACACAGGATACCCGCCTGTGCTGTTAAGTTTGATTTAAATAAAATTTCATTTTGCAAGTACTTTTGTCACTCTCATCACTTTGCATTCTTACCTTTGTGTGTAGAACTGCTACACGTTTACCCTTCAATTAGTATTTCTTTTAAGAGAATTAAGTCCAAGTCTTTTTAATATAGTTTCTATCTATTTTGGCTAAGCCATTATAGCAGATTCATTCCTACTAAACTTAATTTGGAGAGTCCATAGTCATCACGCAAAAGGAAATCCATATCAGGTAGACAATGCTAGCTAGCTTAACTGGAATTCTATATTCCACTTAAATTAATCTTGCACAATATTTCCTAGGTACTAATCACTAAAGATGTGAGATATAGCCACTTAGCCAGGATAGGATGTGGCTTTCAATAAGCATGCGCAGAAGTAATATATATCAAAGAGATGGCTGACATAGACAAGTTCCACTTTTTCAGCTTAAAGTGTTTGATGCAATGTGGATTCACCATATTTGTGGTTACAATGTTTAATCCAGATTGTGCCACAAGAGCTACATATAGGATTAGCTGGTCGCTTTTTATTAGCTGGCTGAAGATATACCAAAAAGAATTGCCATCAATTATCGGTAAGAATAATGAACCCCACCGATAGAATGAGGTTATGATAAGAAAATAACATAACTTCTTTACACTGACAAAGTGTAAAATATTTTTTACACTAATTAATACATCCTCTAAAAAATAACATGTAATTACACAAATACCTCCTATCTAAAAGATTTTTCCTCACATTGGAATACGCAAGAGCTGGGTACTCCTGGAGAGCAAATATTTAAAGTTAATAAGCAAAAAAAAAAAAAAAAAAAAAAAAAAAAAACATGACAAGCCAGTTAGCATTCTATTGGGAAATATATCTAGAGCTAGTACCGAAACCAACAAGAATTGTGGTAGAATGATAAATACTTTATCATCTTTAATCAAAGTTCTTGAGTACGAAGTCGCCCTAAGAATCCTGATGCAAATCCAAATAGTCGGACACATTAAAAAAACTAGAGCACGCGAGGAGGATTGTCATTGGGTGTGATTCTTGAAATGGTCAAGACGACTATCAGCGAGACGCAAGGAATATACAATATGTTTGAACTGGCCCCACGTGAAAGGTCTGTAGATATTACTAATATTTATAGAAATAATATTCTTGTTCTTGATTTGAGGAGGAGCACTTATCCAAGCGTCAAGTGCAGGAGCCGCAAAATACATCATTGACATTCTCGTCTTCCATGAATTCATCGCCACTACCCTATGCCTCACGCTTGTAAATCTTCCATTCGTCAAAGCCTGCACCATTATTAGTCATTGGATTTTAGTTTTGATATATACATGGACATTACAAGATCATTTTTTTTACACAATCAGATACGTACAGGTAAAAATATTTTAAAAAAAATTGACACACATTAATCAACAACATTTTTTTTTTTATTATATATATATACTGTCAGCGGTACAAACCTGAAAGGAGTCGCCGACGAAAACAAAGAACTCATTGGGGTCAGGAGGAACGGGGATCCAGAAACCGTCATGGGAACATATTTGAAGACCATTAACGTCATTTGATCGAAGGATGGTCAGTATCTGAGGGTCAGTATGCTCTCCAAATCCAATTCTTGATTTTGATCCAACGATAGGGAGAGGAGAGATGTGGAGTCGTTCTTCTTCTACTGGGGATGGGTCCCAATTATGATTGAATTCTTGTTGATGATTAGGTGCATTGAGTGGTGGATAGTGATTGATCCTGAAGCAAGAGTCATTCTGGGAATCACTTATGAGATTGCTAAAAATAGACTTGTCTTGTATCCTTAAACCTTCCGCCACCAATTCAAGAATGTCGCAAGCCAGATTCTTAACTGCACTTACGTAATCATTTGCCACGCAGCTGCAAAATTTACAAGACAAATTGCATATTGACATCAGCTCAAATATTCAAGAACAAACCGCTACCTCTACTAAATCGTTAATTAGTTAGAAATTATATGTATTAAACCAATAAAATTAAATCAAATAAAAAACTTCTGACTTTTTCTTGTTAGGTGGTCCTAGGCCTAAGACGTATATGAAATTCTCCATTACATTATATTTTTATTAGCATTGACTTATCCTGTTTCCCGATAGTAACTTACTAGTAGTATATTAATATATATATATATTACGCTTGTCAACGCCAAAAAATAAAAGAAAAAAAACAGTAATTAGTAGGAGTATATTTTAGTAATAGAAATTTTCTATTAGAAGAAAACTACAAGTCTAACATATAGATATATATAAAACAGAAACATATGCTGCAAGTTTGCAGTTGACAGTGCAACTGTTTGGGGATTAGGAAGATGATAATTTGATACACCTAAAATTCGAAAAAGGGTGGTCTGGTCGTGTCTATGTACTTAGCATGCTACTATCTGAAAAGTTTTTTCCATCCAACTAAAGTCACCATATTGACCTAAAAAAAGGGGGTCCATGCACGTACCTGTAAACATATATTTGACTTGAATTATAAAGACTTATTAATGGCCTTTCGCTGGTCAATAGTCAGCTGTTAGCTAGCACACAATAAGCATTAGGTAACAGAGATATTTTAATTAATACCATACAACCTATCTGTTTCTCTGAAAAGGAGTTGCCATCCTTATTAAAAATTAATTTTGAACCTGTTCCAGGTAACCATTAATTTCATCAGCCTGGAAATAACTAACAATACGGCTGATGAGATTCCCACTACACATTTTATCTTTTTTACTACTACAAGATTTGAAATTTTAGATAGCTTTGATGAAAAGTTTGCTACAGTCAGAGGAGGATCCAGGATTTGAGGTTTATGGGTTCCTACCGTAATTTCAGATTAATATGCAATAATAACTGGGTTCACAGTCAGATATTTACCAATATTTAGTGAATTTCTCAATATAAATACAGGGTCTACGCAAGAGTTTGTTGGGTGTGCGAACAAAGTCTCACATTGGTAGCTGAAAAGATTGGGAGTTTACATATAAGGTGTAGGGATCTCTTAATGGTGTGAGGCCTTTTGGGGTAAACCGTGCGGGCTTGGCCCAAAGCGGACAATATCACACCATATTAAGAGTGTACTTGGGCTAGTTTAGCCCAACAACTGGTAACAGAGCCCAGGTTCAGCGGAACGAGTATGGAGATGGCGGAGTGATGGTGCAGGGCGGTGCACACACAAGAAGAAGCTAGTTGCGGGCTTCGGTTGCCATAATACTCTAACAATGTGGGTGGCACACAGTGAATCTCGAAAATTGACCCGTGGATCGTGGTAGTGGGCCACGTGGAACTTAGTTTGAGGGGGAGATTGTTGGGTGTGCGAACAAAGTCCCACATTGGTAGCTGAAAAGATTGGGAGTCTACATATAAGTTGTAGGGATCTCTTAATGGTGTGAGGCCTTTTAGGGAAAACCGTGCGGGCTTGGCCCAAAGCGGACAATATCACACCATGTTAAGAGTGTCATTGGGCCGTTTTAGCCCAACAGAGTTATTATTTAGTCTATGCACTAAGTCCGCCTCTGGCTACAGTATGAGAAGACTTATTTATCTTCAAGAAAGAAGTAGATATTCTTTTCCTCCAGCTTACATATTGATGATGTAATCGGACCAAATTGTATAATATTGGAGTATTACGTGAACATGAGATGAACAATACGAATGCGACGTAAATTCATAAATGCACTAAAGGTATTATTATATAAATACCCACTTGATTTAGTTAAGTGGGGCAAGCATACTAATCGACCAGAAGAACAATTAAATTACGCTTTGTTTCCATGACTTAGACTTAGTCCAATGAACAAAAGCTGTAAAAAGCTAACGTGCCCGTTG